TGTTGATACACACCTTTAATTCCAGCAGCCATACTAGCTAGCCATAGAGGCCAGGCAGTGGTGGCATATATCTTTAATCCCAGGACTCAAGAGACAGGCAGAAGGATCTCTGTGAGTTCAAGGCCACCCAGGGCTACACAAGAGTCAATCTAAAAGAATAACAGAGCTCACACCTTTAATCCCAGCACTAGGGAGGTATAAAATGAAAAAGCAAAGGGTCTCATGTGAGATTTAGTTTTGAGACAGGGAGGGCATTGTAACTCTGAGGATTCGTGGAGACATGGAGACTCTAGAAGCATCAATTTCTGTCTGAGGTAAAGGTAAGAGCTAGTGGCTGGCTGCTTTGCTTTTCTGATCTTCAGTGATTTTATTAGATCATAAACAACATATCAGCACAAGAAAAGGGTTTATTTGGCTTATGTTTCCATTTCACTGTTCATCACTAAAGGAAGTTAGGACAGGAACTCAAGCAGGACAGAAACCTGGAGGCAGGAGCTGATATAGAGGACATGGAGGAGTGCTGCTTACTGGCTTGTTCCACATGTCTTGCTCATTCTGCTTTCTTATAGATCCCAGGACTGCCAGCCTAGGAATGACGCCAGTTACAATGACCTGGGCCCTCCTCCACCAATCACTGATTAAGAAAATGCCCTACATGCTTGCCTTGAGCCCCATCTTATGAAGGCATTTTCTTAATTGACATTCATTCTTCTCTCAGATGAGAGATGTGTTAATCTGACATAAAACTTCACAAGGTCTCACAACCATCCATAACTCCAGGCTGGGGGATACAACTCTTTCAACACCAGACACACACATGATATATATATATATATATATATATATATATATATATATATATATATATTGATATATTGATATATTGATATATTGATATATTGATATATATATTCTGGCAAGCAAATCATGTGTGCACATAAAATAATACAATAAATAAGTCTTTAAAAACTCAACACTAGGCATGCCTACTTACTTAATTGGAGAGTCCCCTCAAATCATCCTTCATCGTGCCACATCCTCACTCTGGTCACAGCAAGCTGGACCTTTTCTGAGATCAACTACTAAGTTAGATAAAGACCCATAGAGACTTGTACCATCTGCCCCACATAGAATTTTCTCTTACAGTACCTCTGTAAGGAGACTTCCAGGAGCCCCCAGCATCCTTGACTATAAGGTTCAGCCACTTGGTTCTATTAGGTGGGCCATTAAGGTGGCTCCTCCTCTCTCCTACCCTTTCTCATATAGGACACAAACCTAGGGCATGTGGGCCTTATTCTCTCCCCTTGGCTTCTGTTTGGAAAGTGTTCTTTCACCTCTATGCAGACATGTCGGTTGAGTGAATCCATAAGCAAATACCTATGTTGGATGATCAGGTGGGTGGCCTGTCCTTTTCCTTATCTCAGGGTTCATTCAGATGGAAAGAAACCTAAGCCCAGCTACTCTGTTTACTCTGGATTCTCTGTCCATTGTACATGGGATTGATCTGGTTCCCGCCCCCCCTCCAATCTCTCTATTAGTTCAGCTTCAGAAAATCGCTTATCAACTCCAGATGTTAGACCATGCTCTGCCATCAAGGCTGCCTGGCTGTTTTATGTTTGTCATTAATTGATTTTGCCCTCCCCACTTGGGAAGCACAAATTAGCTTGCCCGTTAGCAGTAATAATTCCCTGAAAGGGGTTATAAATCATGCCTTGTGTCGTCTAGTCCTCACTCACAGTGGAGCACTATCTGTATAGGGAGATACTGAGTTAGGATGTGGGGAGGAGCCAATAGTCCAGAAATCAAACGGTGGCAGACACCTTGAATGTGTAGAAGAAGCGAGGGAGGGAAGAAGGGATGGAGGGAGGGTTCTGTGGCTTTTCCTGGGGAAATGTGAAAAAAATGTCTGCTCACTCCAAATAGGGCATGGGCTACAGACCTAAGAAACCATTCTACCAAAGTCCAGTTTGATGAACTTCCTGGTTACTCACAGGTCCTGGAAGTGAAAAGCCTACCTTAGTATGGGTGACAACCTACAGGTGCATCCATGGAGCTCTCTGCACAACTGGAAGGCAGCTCTGTGGAAGAGTCTCCTCTTTCTAGAAATTATTTACTGACCATCTAACCTTTGGGAGTGGCTTTGTGACTCTTGTAAGTTTCTGAGCTCCTGAATCTTGTGAGGGTAATTTGAGAACCTCATGAGTCATCCCATTCATATTTCACCTTTGTATTTATTTCTTCCTGTCTTTTCTTTTCTTTCCTTTTCTTCAAGACAGGGATCCACTGTGTAGTTCTGGATATCCTGGAACTCACTCTGTAGACTCTCTACCTGTCTCTGCCTCCTGAGTGCTGGAATTAAAGGCATGTGCTATCACTACCCAGCTCACCCTTGTATTTCAATCCCTATATATTCTATGATCTAAGTCTTAGACTCTAAGAGTTTTCAGAAATCACCTAGGTGTAATAGCATATGCTTTCAATCCCAATACTCAGGAGGTAGAGGCAGGCAGATCTCTGTGTCAAGACCAACCTGGTCTATATTGTGAGTTACAGGCCAACCAGGGCTACATAAGACACTGTCTCAAAACAATGAGCTTTCAGAAGCTCCTCAACCACATGGCTGTGTTCTTGAGAGAACCCATCCTAGAGGCATCAGAAACAGAAACAGCAGGGAGGTTTCAGAAAAGATGACTCCCCAGCTCTCCTCACATTCCCTCCAAAACAGCCCACACTTGTTCTTGCTCTTAATATGAGTAGCCATGCCCTTGCCTCACCTCATGCCAGTAATGTGTTGTGTTCTATGTTGGGCCTTGTAGCAGAGGAGAAACCCTATGTTACCCTTTCTCTCATAAACTTTAAAGTCATAAAGATGCTCCCCTTGTTTTGGTTTTCTGTAGGCCCTTGTCTTGGTAAGAGACTGTAACAAGTATGGTTTTTCCGCCTGCCGCCTGGTCTTGTCCAGCCGCCGCCCCAGCCCCAATTAACACACAGAGACTCTGTATTTGATATAATTCTGTTTGCCAGGTACTAGTTTCTTATTGGCTAGCTCTGTCTTAAGTATTAACCCACTTCTATGTATTTCCACGTGGTCTTCTTACCGGGGAAAGGGGCCAGCGTCTCGTCTCCCCAGTCTCTCCATCACCCCTCCTTCCTACTTCCTCTTCCTTCTTCTCTCCTAGTCTCTCCTATCTTCTTTTCCTATTGGCCAACAGTGCTTTATTCATTAACCAGTATGAGAAACATATACAGAATGACATCTCCCATCAAGAGACACCAAGACCAAGGCAACTTATAGAAGAAAGAATTTACTGGGGCCTGGCTTAAAGTTTCCGAAGGCGAGTCTATAACCACCATGACAGGGAGCACAGCGGCAGGCATGGCATGGCACTTATAGCAGTAGCTAAGACCTTACCACTTGATCCACAAGCATGAGGCAGAGAGAACACTAACTAGGCCTGACATGGGCTAGTGACACACTGCCTCCAACAAGGCCACACCTCCTAATCCTTCCAAAACAGTTCAAACAACTAGGGAGAAAGCATTCAAATATATGAGCCCATATACACCATAGGGGGCCTTTTTATTCAAACTATCACACTCCTCTATCACCAGCATGCATATTCTCTCATCTTCACATCATTATAGAAGTAATGGTGGTTGTTTGTCCTGATAGGCTAGTCACAGCATCTTCACACCATAGCTTCTTCTAGTTGATGCCCACAACTATGAGGGAGGCCCACACCCCCTTTGATGGGGGTAGCTCAGTTCCAGAATCCTGCCTGCTTAATAACTTGGTCCATCTGGTACTGGACACCTGTAAAACGACCACCATGTAAATGTTCTCATGGGCAACCTGCCTTTCCACATGAGATCAGACCCAGGAAACACCAAGAGAAAAAAGGCAGAGAAGTGGACCTGGGGCTCGTCTCTGACACATTTTTTTTACATGAAATTTCCAGAATAGGGAAGTTTATTAGAGACAGAAAACAGGTTCCTATAGACTAAGGGAGCAGACCTGGGTGAAGTGGGAAGCAATAGCTAACATGGGAGGGGCATCTCTCTTTGAAGCAATAATTGATAGTGGTGTGGCGTTATAACTCTGTGAATATAGTACAAACCATGTGGGATGGTCAGTGTTGACTGTCAACTTGACAGGTTCTAAATTCAGATAGGACACAAACCTCTGAGAGAGAGAGAGAGAGAGAGAGAGAGAGAGAGAGAGAGAGAGAGAGAGGAGAGAACGCTCTGTTTGAGGCCTGCCTGATCTATATAGAGAGTTCCAGAATAGCTGAGGTTACACAGAGTTTTAGGAAACCCTGTCTCAAAAAACAAACAAACAACAACAACAACAACAAAAATAGCTAACCCCACACTATGAACCAAAATAAACCCTTCCTTCCTGAAGTTGCTTTTGTTGGGTGTTTTTAAGGACACCATGGGAGTGGTCACTTTCAATGTATGTGAGGCGAGCTATTATATAATGTCAATAAAGCTGTCACATCCATGAAGATCAACCAAGGCACCATGGGTCCATTAGCAGAGGAAGGAGCCATGGACAGCAATGTGGGGGTGAAGGCTCTCTTCTGATTTCGCCACACTTGCATCTCAGGAGCTCAGCATCCTCCAGATAACCTGCTCAAGGGTCTCAAGCAAGACCAACCATTGGCAGAAGTGATACCTGGTGGTAACCAGGGCCTCCTGTGTATCAGTGGAACTGATTGATAATGCTGCTAAGCAAGGCTGTCATCTGCCTGTTTACTCTGCTCTGATTTGTTTCACTTTGGTTTATTCATCCCCAGGTCTCCCCAACAGGCAGGCCAATCCTCCCTATTCTGTTCTGTAAGCAAGGCCAACCCACGCCCTTGTGAGACTTCCCTCCCAGCCTCCCGTATTTGTGCTGGGAGCCTTTCCAAGTGAAGAATATAAAGTTGTTCAGAGCCCTTTTAGACCCAGCTCAGTGGGCTCCTTTTCAGATTGCCTCAGACTCAGCCTCACTTGGAAGCAGAAGATGAAACCAGATGTGCCCAGGAGAAGCCTGTAGGTGTTCCTGAGGGGCCCATGCATTTGCTGCCTTGCTGCTGTGCATGGAAAAACAAGGCTGGGTGGGGGATGGCAGGCCTGTTTGCACACCACACTGTTCAAACAGACTCCCCTGCCGCAGACACCTGTGAGGTAAAAGACAGGGAAGGCAGTAGCAGGGGCTCTCACCTCTTCTCAACGCTCCCCACAGCCACCCTGACAGCTGTTGCAAAGTCCTAGCCACACCATGCCCCGTGCTGGGCTCTGTAGCTGCTGGGGTGGCCAGGTATTGCCCCTGCTTCTGGCCTATATCTGCTACCTGCTGCTCGGGGCCACCATCTTCCAGCTGCTGGAGAAGCAGGCAGAAGCTCAATCCAGGGACCAGTTCCAGCTGGAAAAGCTGCGCTTCTTAGAGAACTACACCTGCCTGGACCAGCAGGCCCTGGAGCAATTTGTACAGGTGAGGGAGTAAGAAAGGATGGGCCAGGAAGAGTGGGGAGGTGAGTGGAGGGGCCAGTGGCAAGTGAGTTTGGTTACTTGTTCCGAAGCAGAGTATAGAGGGAACTGGAGCCTGGAGAATCTAGTCACAGGTCTATTATGTGAACTTGATCAAGTTACTTAAATGTCTCATTAGTAAGGGGAAAATAAAGAACATATCTGGTGTTGGGGAGGGGGCCTCATTCAGTCAAATGTCTGACAAACAAATATGAGGACCTCAATTCTATGCCCAGATCCCACTTCGAAGCCAGGTGTGGGGCATGTAAGACGGCTCAGTGAGTAAAGATTCTTGGCATGGAGCCTGATGATCTGAGTTCAATTCCTGGAACCCACATGTGGTGCAAGGTGTGAACCAGCTCCTGGAAAGCTGTCCTCTGATCTTGACACACTTACAATGACACACGCATGTTCACACATGTATAGATATACACATATTGTTGTGTACGAATTAAAATGTAATTTTAAATTAAAAGGACAGGCACGATGACTTGTAATCCCAGCATTGGAAAGGCCCATATAGGAAGATTTCTAGGGCTCTCTGACCAGCCAGCTTTGCCAAATGGGCAAGTCTCAGGCCAATGAGAATGAGAGAGAACCTATCTTAAAAAAAGAAAGAAAATGTGGAATGCTGGAGATGGCTTAGTAGGAAAGAACACTTCATTAATAAACATATGGACCTGAGTTCAAACCTCTAGCACCTATGTATGATTCTGGGTATGGATGTAAGTACCTGTGACTCCAGCACTGGATGGTTGGGCTAGTGAGACAGGTGGATCCTATAAGACTGCTGGCTCTGAGGAATGACACCTGAGGTTGACCTCTGGCCACATGCACAGCTATCTGCACATACACAAACATATATGTATGCACTCATAAACACACTCATAGAACACTCCTGTCTGTAGTCTAAACATTAAAAGCCCTCTCTGAGCTCCCACTTGCTTCATGAACATGATCTGTTAGTTACTAACTCTCTAAAAGTTTCCTCTCCCACACTCCCCCACTTCTTAGGCCTGCTGCTCCATCTGCTGGCTCTCAGCTTATGTCCCTGGGTGGAGATGCAAACAAAGGTAAAGACCAGCTGGGCTGATGGACAAGGAATTCTGCCAGGACAAGAACTGTACCCTGGGGTTCTCTCACTCACTGCCTGGGCCCCTCCCGCCAGAAACAAAGACATACTAGGTATTTTGGTCCAAGGTAAATCCACTGAGAAGATCACTGCAAACCTACAGACGAAGAGCAGTCAGCACAACGATCCTGTGTGTTAAAGGGTGGGGACCAAGGCTCTGTTCCATTTGATACAGCACTTGGGTCTGAGCACCTACAGGTGTTTTCTCCCAGTTGCTTACTTTAACCAGTATCTTCAGCTTGCTGGTGGAAGCTGAGACTCAGAGAGAGGCAGGTTGTGGGCCAAGGCTGCACAGTCACTGGCTGAGGCAGAACTCACAGCCATGCTTCTTGCTAGGGAGCTCCTTATTCTTCACTCCATGAACTAATTCATGTGCTGAGGACAGGGTACTGCTGAAAGTGAGGGTTCTTAAAGTGGGGCCTGTGAACCCCACCAGAAGCAATGCCTGAGAGCATGTTAGGAAAGCAAGTGTCAGCTTCCACCCAGTCATGCTGACTCAGGAGCTTCAGGGACATCACCAGGTGGTGCTGAGGCCCTGAGACTTCTCTTGGGACTGAGCAACTGGCCTACAGGATGATGCATGAGCAGGGAGAACTCTCCCTGCTGTTGCAGGGTAGACTCCCCATAGAGTTACTCAGGGTGGCACTAATTTCCAAGGTACTCTGACATCCTGGTCAAAGATAGGTACACCTAAACCACTCCCCTCCCCTCCCTGGGCTGGAAGTGGAACCATGAATGAGGAGTTGGCAGACAGGTGGCAAGATCTGAACCAGCTCTGTAGTCACATGGACCAGTTTTGACTGCATCCTAAGGGGGCAGTGCTTAGCCCAGGGAAAGCACTAGGAAAGATGGGACAGACACAACCCTGAAAGTCCTTACCTTCCAGGGTAAGTGGAACTTGGAGGTAAGATTTGGGGAAATCCATTCTATGAGGAACCCCCACACTGAGTCATAAACAGAGCTGAGTATTCAAATGTGGCTCCAAGGGGAAGCAAGCTTGTACATCAGCCCCTTTCTCCTTCACCATTGAGTTCTGAGTCCACTCATCCACATTCAGAACCATCAGAGGGGTCAGAGCCCCTCCCCTAGGATGGAGGGCTCAGAGGTGCAGTGGGGACAGCCAGGAACTGGGAAAATGCTGTCCTCATTGGTGAACGTCTCCAGGGAGGGGACATGCTCTGGAACATCAGGTTCAGGTGTCTGGGTGTGTGGGAAAGAGAAGTCGAAAGTTTCTATCTTAAAAGGTTAGTTCCTGACATGTGGGGCTGGGAGGCCTCTGCCCAGTCTATGAAAAATCAGTTCTCACAAGAAAGGGAGGCAGGAGCAGCCCTACTTTCCAATGGTTTCCCTGCCTTTGGGGCACTGCCAGATATCAAAGCTGAGCTGCCACCATCCTGCCACAGGGGAGGGCTAGAGTTTGGGGAGATAGAACCTGCTCATTCCCCATGAGGGCTTGAGGGTGAAGCCTGTTAAGGCTACTGTTCTAGAAATACAAAACATAGACACATAAAGCACACACATAACACAACATACAGCACTGTACAGCACATTCAGTCAACACACCACATGTACACACTGTATACCTATTTATAGACAGATACACACACACACAGGCACGCACACACACACACAGAGGCCCTTTTGTGGGTCTCTTTGATTTCTTCTGCGAGCATGGGCTGCACTCACTAGCGGGTACCAGAGAACCAGACTGCCAGCCCCCAGCCCCAACTAGATGCCCAAGAAGGCTCCTGTTCTCACCACCTGGCCTGTGGGAGGGCATCCAGACCCACCCCGCTTTGGTCAGCAGACCCTTCCAGAAGCATTCAATACAAAACCCACCTTGTCCTACACCCCCATTTCTCTCTCTCTCTCTCTTTCTCTGTCTCTCTCTCTCTCTCTCTCTCTCTATATATATATATATGTGTGTGTGTGTGTGTGTGTGTGTGTGTGTGTGACATTTTCCTAGCTATCAGCACCTCCACATTATCTCCTCAGGCCCTCCACTAGCTCATTAGAACACATACCTCAGTTAGGTTCTAGCCACTTAACAAGTGTCTTAGCCACTTAGAGCCTTCATGCCATTTTCTGTGAAACAGGAACAATGCTATCTGAGAGACTTGGTGATAGCTTGTACTAAGTAACCATGCCACTTTCACAGGTCATCCTGGAAGCCCGGGTGAAAGGTGTGAACCCCAAAGGCAACTCCACCAACCCTAGCAACTGGGACTTTGGGAGCAGTTTCTTCTTTGCAGGCACAGTGGTCACCACCATAGGTAAAGGGGTGGGGGGAGAGGGGTCTCCCTAGGCCCTGCTCAGCTTGTGAGCCCTTCCAAAAGCCATTACTGAGACCAGGATGTGGTTTCTCCAGGAGGGGGCACATAAGGCACAGATCGGGAAGTGAGTAGGTGAAACCCGTGAAAATGGAAGGCAGCCAAGTTGGCTGTAGCTGTAGGTTCACTCTCTGGGGCACACTGAAGGGCTAAATAGAGTTCATCAGCAGGGCAGCATAAAAGGTGGGAATGAGGGCCTGTCCTTCTTTTGCCTCAGTCTGGTTCTGGTGTGTTAACCCTGTGCACCAAGCTATAGACCAAACTCACACCTGGAATGAGAGTCTGCTCAGGAAGAGAGATGCGAAGTGGGAGGCATTTGTGCACAGGGATTGTTCTTCTAGGGTCAGTGTCCCAAGGAGATGGGGTACCACAGAAAGAGCACTCTACTCACTTCCCATGAGCCCCCAGGTCTCTCTCACATAGGCCTCCCTTCCAGCTAAGCCCAAATCCATTTCTACCCATCTTCTTTGGCAATCCAGGCTGCGCGACAGAGTTGGGGGTCAGGGTATAGACCTAGATTTATCCCGGGCTTGGCCTTCAGAGTTTCTCATCCATCAAAGAGGGAATAAATTGCTATAATTGCATAAGGCAGCACAGATAATTAGATGGAAATGACTGGAAGCATCTCAGGGAATCGTGCCTGGCAGAGGCAGAGGGTGGTAGTCAGGAGGGCTTCATGGGAGATGAGCCTTCTATAGATTGTTCTAGCAGAGAATAAGATGAGTGTTCATGGGAACAGGGAGCATCTCCTCCCCCAGAGATGATGGACACAAGTGTCTGCTGGATCTGGGGTGGGGGCAGGTGGGAGGCAGTTCTGGGCTCTCTCTTCCCTTGATCTGCACACTCCCTTGTCCTGTAGGCTACGGAAACCTGGCACCCAGCACGGAGGCAGGTCAGGTCTTCTGTGTCTTCTACGCCCTGATGGGCATCCCACTCAACGTGGTCTTCCTCAACCACCTGGGCACAGGGCTGCGTGCCCACCTGACCACACTGGACAGGTGGGAGGATCATCCCAGGCAATCCCAGGTAAGGTAGAGAGTCCTATCCAGGCCCTCTGGGAGATGGGCTTGGGTATACAGACATTTGAGAGTCAATTTGGACAGCTGCAGGGTTGGTAAGGTGATGTAGACTGGACAGGGCATGGCCTCAAAGGGCTCTGCAGTTACATGTGACTTTGGAGTCTACCTGCAAAGGGTTGAGGGCCAGGCCCTGAGTATGACTTCCCTGTGAGGATGGTGCCATGTGCCGGGCAGCTCTGTGCCGGGCAGCTCTGTGCCAGGCAGCTCTGGGCAGCATCCTTCTTTGGTAGAGAATCTGAACATTACATTGCCTCTCCATGGTCATCACAGGTACCCAACAGTTTGTTATGTGGTCCAAAGCAATCCCCAGCATGCCCTATAGAGCTTACTGACATAGAGGGACTGGGGACAGTTTGGTGGGTGACAGTAGTCTTATCCCAGATCTGAGTGCCCTAGGGAGCCTTCTCAGGTGTAATTATCAAGTTCAAAAGGAGATGTTGGCTCCTTCCTTGACTCACTAACACATTCCCCTGACTAGGAAAGCTTGGCACATACATGTCACATGCCCATGGGCACAGCCCCACCCAAAAGTCTGCAGTGGGGGGCTTAGATACTGCCCTGCCCATACCCAACTTTTCCTGAACCTCCCTCACATATTTTCAGAGCCTTCCAAGTGGTCTCAAGGGTAGTTTCTCCCCTCCCAGCTCCTGCAGGTCCTGGGCCTGGCTCTGTTCCTGACTTTGGGGACCCTGGTCATTCTCATCTTTCCACCCATGTTCTTCAGCCATGTGGAGGGCTGGAGTTTCCGTGAGGGCTTCTACTTTGCCTTCATCACCCTCAGCACCATTGGCTTTGGCGACTACGTTGTTGGTGAGAATGGGATAATAAGGTTATCTTGGGTACCCACTAGGATGATGGGGAACAGAGAGGTACCAGCTGAGGCTGGTTACTTCTGGGTCTACTGTAGACTCTTGGGGGCATCCTCTAGTATGATACCTATCACTGCTTCCTCCATCACTAGTCCATCATATGAGGACCAGGGAGAAAGCACTCCTATAGGAGCTGGGGATGACAGTGCCCTCAGACACGAGCCATCACCTTCCCCGGCAGGCACAGACCCCAGCAAGCATTACATCGCTGTGTACCGGAGCCTGGCAGCTATATGGATCCTTCTAGGGTTGGCGTGGCTGGCGGTGGTCCTTAGCCTGGGATCCCTGCTTCTGCACAGGTGCTCCCGGCTCTGGCTACTCATCAGAGGCCTGGACCTCAAGGATGGAGCAGACCCTGACTCTGACACTAGGCCACAGAAAATTCCTATCTCTGCATGAAAGGCAGGGGTCCTGCCCTCCCAAAGCCCTGCCCTTCCTCTTCCATTTCAACCCACACACAGCAACTCTTCAGAGAGAGAGAAAGCCTAAAAAATAACTGATTAGGAGACAAAAAATCAAGGCCTCTATAGATGGAGATATGCAAGCTGGCCTCTGAGCTCTTTCCCCTATCTCCCAAAGAGGACTCAGAAAAGTCAAACCCAATATGGATCATGGTGGCCAAATCACTACTGCCATCTTGACATGCTGGCAGGAGCCCTTAGGCTGCAAGCAAAGGTGGACCTGCTTTCTGCATGGCTTGCTACATACATCCTAGGCTCTTAGAAAGCTCTGTTATGTCCCAGGCACTGTGCCTGGGTCTGCAGCTATGACAGTGATGGTTTCTGTCTTCAGTCTTAAAGAAGCCCCAGGGCAGCATCTGCAGGCTTGATGGGAACAAACTTGGGGAGAATGAAAGTTCAGGGCAGTGACTGGAGAGGGCAGCTGGGCACACACCTGGGGGCACTTACGGTGCATGCAGGAAGATGTCCTCAGGAGTCTCACAGCTGAGGGACAGGAAGACTGCCAGTTAGAGTTCTCCAGCTCTCCTTGCCCACACATAGAGAGCTATCCTGAAACAATGCTTGGGACCTCTTTTAGATGTACCACTGCCTTCCTGAACATGACTTTCCCTGACCCTTAGTGCACCCTTAGACCTCATTACTCCCCCGAGAAGCTGGAGCAGATCCCAAGAACCTTACAGGATATGAGCTCCCCTGTGGCATGGACTCCTATGGGAACACTTCATCCAAGCCTGGCCTTTCTGCCAGATTGGGACACTGTGGGACAGAAGGGAGGGGAAGTTTGACTCAGTCTATCCCAGTGCCCAATCTCAGGCTTAGGAATTGAAATTCTCTTGGCTTTCTCCACCTCCCCAGTGGCAAGGAGCTTCTGAAGATCTGTGTCCTCTTTACAGCATTAGGGATGGGGATGGGTGGGACTGTGAGCCCAGTAGGTTGAGAGGAGTCCCAGGGAAAACCCACATTGGCAGGGGCTTCCCAGCACCCAAGTCCTGCTGCCACCCAGGAAAGGATTGAAATCTGAAGTCCTCCAATACTTCTGACTGCTCATGCTGGTCCCTGCTTCTGTTCTGAGGGCTTGGAGAGACAGGAACCTCTCTCCAAAACAGCAAAGGACAAGCTCTTGCCTGTCACCCCTCCCCCAGCACACAGACAAACCCAGATGGGGCCCCTTTTATTTCTCTGGGTGTACTAGTTACAAGCACTCTGAGGAAATCCCTGGCCCCTCAATATAGGCAGGAGCCCCATGACAATAAACTTGGCTGCTGTTTCTCCTTTGCACAGTGGGTTGCAGGAGTCTCTTCTACTACAGGGAACCACTGGGGTTGGGGGATTCTGGGTCCTTCTGTCCCCTGCCTGTGGCTACCCCGACCCCCTCCTTCCCTCTGATGTACGGGTGGGCACTCCACACTCTTTTTGTCCCAGGGATTGGATCCTTGAGAGTGGGCAGGGTCATCCCATCCTCCAGCACTCTTGAACAAGGAAACAGGAAGGCATTTGCTTAGAGAAGGGGGCCCCTCCTGGCCCCTCCTGGCCCCTCCTGCCCAACCTGGTTCCTGTCCATCGTAGCTCTGACCTCACCATCATGTTAGCGCTCTGGTCTCCTGCTTATGGTCACCCGCTGACCGAGAGCTCCCTCAGTGCCTTAGTGGGCTGGGGCCTAGGGGTGCCGGGCACCGGACTTCTGCTGCTCTCCTATCTGGCTTGCCGGGTGTAGACACTGGTGTGTCCTGGGTGCTGGAGGGTCACGCTGCCCGGGACCCCAGCTGCAGCTTCCAGAGTGACGAGTGGGAGCTGCTACAGAGCTACACGCGTGTGGATGGCTGGACACAAGACCTGCTGCTCTGGGTTAGGGTCAGCATGGAAAAGAAGAGATGGAACTGTGGGGCTCAGGGCGCAGGGTAGAGATGGAGAATACTTTGGCCCAGAACAGTGAAGTGCTAGGAGCTGTCACTTCATGGAGAGGTGGAAGGCCAGAACTGGGAACAGCAGGGCTGTGCGGTTGAGGATGGGCGACCACAGGGTTGGCCTGAACAGCAACGGAAACGGCCTCTGTCCTTAAGGAAACGAGAGGGCATGGCTTTGTGGGAAAACAGTCATTCTTAATTTGGAAATAAGGAATACAGAAGGTGTGCTTCCCTGGATCACAAGATACAGGGCTGTCGGATAGTGTCAGGTAGCATTTCATCTGTGTCTTCCCTGTGTGGGACTTACTGCGACAGAGGGCAAAGAATGAAAAGACCACACCTTGCCTCTTCCAAAGGGCTAGTGAAGGGTAAATAGGGGCCTTTGGGGCAAGGCTAGGCTCTACAGAGGCACAGGAGTCTGGGCAATTGGGGGAAGGCTCAGCCAATAGGGGTGGGAAAAGTGGGGTCAAAGTGGCAAAGAAGAGAGGGGCTAGAGATGAGTGGACCCGGGCTGAATCCAGGGTTGAGACCAGTTCGCCTGGAGGTCATCCCGCCCCAACTGCAGGGCAGGCAGAGATAGAAAGGGGACACAGAGGAAGGTGTCAAGATCACAGAGCCAGAGGCTTCGCAGCCGATGAGAATGCTGTAGGGTAGGGAGGCAGAAGAAGGTAGTTCATCTTGGCAGGACTTCCCATTAAGGGCTTTTCCACTTATGGCCAACAGGGTCAGCAGCTAAGCAAATCAGAGTCCCTCTGCCATGAGCATAGGGACAGACATTAGACCCATGTGCAGACTCTTCACATTCCTGCAATGGCCCCAAGTCTCTAAGCGGAAGCCAGATACTGGAACGGAAGAGGATATTGTTGGGGTGGGACAGGAGGTCAGCTGAATGGAGATAGACTTTCAAACTTTTGGACGTGCCAGTTGGGCAGGATCTGGATCTAGGCAGGGTGGGGACAATGTCTGCCCACAACCACCACCATCAGTAAATATTTGTGTTGTAGCCCTTCCCTTGCCCGGCCCCCATCTCCCCCAGAGTCTCACAAGCAGATACTATCATCCCCATTTAGAGATGAGGCAAGGCTCAGAGAGGGTTAGTTTGGATGCAAGGCGGCACAGCCAAGAATGGGAACCATTGACCACCCAGAGGCTGCTTCTGGATGTTTCCCAGAATTCCCAACCATGCTCCACAGATTTAACCTTCACAGAGAGGATTAGCCAATGTTAATATTAGTATTTACAGATAAGGAAACCGAGGCAAGGAGAAACCGATTAACATCTATAGTCTCCACACCTGAAACAGCGTTGATGGCTCATGTCAGAATTTATTCAGTTCTCTGTCCCACTGAAGGCTAAAGTCTGTCGTCACCCAGCCTACTGCTTCCTGAAACATTAGGACTAAGGGGCTTAAGTAATGAATACTTAAGCCTGAGAGATAGCCCAGAACCCAGCTCTGGGATATGGAGTGGAAGGGTTATTATGGTCCCTGCCTCTGAGGAGGCCCTGGTTGATAGGAAGGGTGGAGGCTCCTTGATCTGTCTGGGCTTGAAGTAAAGAATGAGGCATTGTGTGAGATTCCTGGGGACACATAAACAAAATATCTTCATCCCAGTCAGGGCACCTGTGTCTATCTGGATGAACCAGTAAGTGTACTGGGTTTACTATCAGCAGCACAGGTCATTCAATGGAGCACAGAAAAACCACACCAGTAGGCATAATATCTTGAAGAAGCTGCACCCCCAGAATTCACCACTCAACTTGCAAATAGCTACATGGAGGCAAATTGTTACTGTGTATATAGTGTGGAGGAGGGGCCTTGTGAATCCTGTAACTTTATAAGCTTTAGAGCCTTGTAAGACAATAGAAAAAAATGAAGCAAGGATGTGTGGCTCCTAGTATGGATTGAGGCAGGTTTATTGTAGATAGGCTCATGGAAGAGAGAGTGGGGAGGGGAGAGCCAGAAGCCAAGAGACCTGGAGAGCAGGAACTAAGAATATCAACCAAGAGATCCACATAGCCAAAATGGCTAGGTTATAAAGGGAAGAAAAGCTGAGGGAAGGGGTCCGGCCCTGCCCCTGGGCCAGAGAGCTTAGGGTAGTGGGCTGGGAATGCCACCCAGGATGTCTCTATTACTGGTACTGTTGATGCTAAGAGAGACTGGGGAAGGGGAGGGGCAGCATCCACTTTGATATGTTAATAGACATCTCAGTTAGCCATTTGTGCTGAGTTTGAGTCCTATGAGCATCTCTCCTCCCTTTAGAAGGAAGGGTTTTCCTTTATAGAAATTGCCTATACAATATGAGGGCTGCAAATGTATGAGTGTAGGTGTCTATAGATGTGAGTATGTGGGTGCCTTGGGGTGTTGCCCAACACATCACCCAAGCATCCAAGGATGGGACCAGCCTCCTGAGCAGTACCAACAGCATGGAGCTCTGGGAGTTTTGGCTGTTCTTTTCCATGTTCACCATCACTGTTATTGGTAAGGGCTGGGTGGGGACAATCTGGTGGGGCTGGGGAGGTGGCTGCTCCCTAAGAGTCAATGGAGCCTCCCTGAGAGTCAGTGGAACTGGTGATAGCATTTGAGGGGGCTAATCCAGGGTGTCATAGCTATAAAATAGTCAGTTTAAATTTTGGTCATTCTACCTAGCTCCTTCTACAGTCCCTCTTAGGCCACCAGCACCTCTCACTCCTGTCACCATTCTCCAGATCCATTTCCCCTCCAGAGGCGGAGTTCATCCCAAAAGAGCCCTGAGGACTGTTGTTTGGAAACAGTATGGACAAAAAGATCTAGGTTCCTCTGCAGCCCTGAATCTCAGGGAATAATGCCAGTGTCCCAGACCCTTGCTCTCTGCATCCCCTGCATGACCCAGGACTTGCCACCAGGTGGCAGGTTCATACCAATGATGACTCAATCCAGCTTTCCACTACCTTGCCTTGTCTTCCCAAGAGCTAGCAGGTGAATTTCACTATATGCACAGCCCTCTGGATAGTTTTAACTCAGTCCCTAATTCCAGGAGGAAGCTCTGAGGACTCCAGGGAGCATGGGCAAT